CCATATTTTTTGTCTAAAAGAAGTATGGGGGTTTCTGACCCTTCACAGAAGGAGTCTGCCAACTTAAGGTGGCTTCAGCCTACCTGGGATCCACATGCCAGCAGCTGGGGTCCACCAGGTACCCCAGGAACTCCACCCTGTGCTGTTGAAGAGAACAAATCTCTGGTGTTTGACATGGAGCCACTAGTGCATAAGTGACTCAGGACTTCCTGGCATAGTCAGTGTGCCTGTTGAGCATCAGAGAACATGAAGGTGTCAAGAATGCCACTACATACTTATCAAGCAGGCTGTGCAGGACATCACTTACAAAACAACGGAAGGTGCTCAGAGCATAGAAGAGACCAAATGGTATCGCACGATCCTCATAGTGTCTGTATCTGGTTCAGAAAGCAGTTTTCCACTCCTTCCCTTCTAGCACGCAGGGACTGCAGAGTTTCTTAGAATTTGCCAACTTCTTTTGATGACTTGTAACAGGGTTTTCCAGTATCACGGCTCTTAATAACAGCACATACTTGGAAGGGACCTCACTTTCTATGGGCATAAGAAGCACAGGCAGCTTCTGAGGAACCGAAACAGGCATTCACCACAGCCTGCCTCACAGTCCCGCCCAGGCCCTGGCTGGCATTTCACTGTGGAAGCAGATGCTTCTGCGTCACAGAGGCCATACTCTCCCAGAAGCTGGCCCAAAGCAGGACCCAGGATCCTATGTCTATTTCTCTAGGCAGCTCACCCCTACTGAGAGGAATTACGATGTCTGGGACAAGCAGCACCTGAAAATCAAAGCTGCCCCTGAGGAGTGGTAGCACATTCTTGAGGTAGCAGAAGAACCAACAGTGGTGCCGACCTACCACCAGAACCTGGAATACAACTGGGCGATGAGCTGCTTCTCTCTCTCCACACTTAACTGTCCATTTGTCACTAACTTTGGTTTCCAACCCAGAAGTCTGCCAACCACACCAGCTGCCTCACAGGTACCTGCACCAAGTGACAGTCAGAGCAGGGGGGGTGTTGGTGCAGCTGACAACACAGTTGCCATTTCTACCACAGTAAAAGTAATACCCTTTTCTCCATCTGTGTTCTCATTCTCGCGATGAGGGGTGAGGTAGATGGTGCCTATGTCCATGGGCTCTTCCTCTGGGGATGGATAGTAAGGAAGGTGGAACAAAGCATGGTGCAGGTCTGCATATGCTCTTCCTGGCAGAGCCAGGTGCTTCTCCAGTGATAGGCCTGAAAGGCTGCTGCAGGCTCTGGGGTAGGCCAGTCCTAGCCACCTCATTTTTGAGGGGGGTAGGCCAGTCCTAGCCACCTCATTTTTGAGGGTCTCAGACAGCCCTAGACTTTAGAGGGCCATAAGGGCTTGCTCTTCATATTCAGTTTCCACAATAAACTCCATGAATTGAATTGTGTAGTTAGTGGCCAACAACTTCCCCTGCTGGAGCTCCAGCAAGACAGCCTTGGCCACTGCACAGTTGTGGTCCCCCAAAAACTGCTCCAAATCAACAAATAAGTCATCACGTTTTGGAGCATAAGGCCATTGTCTTCCACATGGTCCGAATCCACTCTTGGGTTGCCTTGCTGGGAGGTTATTACTCCTGAGCATCTCATGTTCCTTGGGATATACAGTCCCTGGATAGGCTGTAAAGATTAGCTACATCTGACTAATAAATCCTGATACCATCATCCAAATCCCCACTGAACGGTTCTAGAATTTGGGGAGCAAGAGATGCGGAAGCAGCCTGAAAGGCTGTGCCACGCCTCTCCATGCTGACCATAGCTTCCTGCCGGATTCTGAGGTTAACCTGCAGCTGATGAGCAGCCTGAAGGCCAGGCTCCGTGACAGTCAGCTCAGGGCTTGAGGAAGCAGCAAGACTGGGGCTGCTCTGCAAGGGATGACAGTCAAAAGCTGAGGGAGACCATATCACAGAGGGATAGTGATCTCACCAACCAGGGCACAGCACCCAAGCAGGGCAGCCTTGTGACAGTAACAGACTCTGTTGACAGACCAGCCATCACCAGGTAAATGTGAGATGGCAGATCAAGACCAAGTGCAATTCATGAAATGCAGTCAACAGGAGCTGCAGGGCACAGGCCTAGGCTCACACCTGCCATCAACACAGCTCAGGAAAGGGCTGGAGGCCAAGGTTTGAGCATAAACGGAGCTAGCCCCACAGCTATGCTGGCAAGCGTGCACTGGCGTGTACCTTAAGCTCCGGGTTAACTTCAGTGCAATCTGGAGAGGAGAATGTAACATAAACTAAGCAGCCACAGGAATCGTCTCCAACCATCTTGCACCTTCTAACTGGAACTTAAAACCCAGGCCAAGTATGTCTTAAAAGCGTTAACGTCAATGACCACAGATTATTTTCACGCTCTCTCCAGGCCCTTCAGCCACTCATTGCTGCACCTATCCCGAAAAAGTTGCACAAAGATTTAGGAAAACTTCTAAGTGGTGGGGAAGGAGCACAAATGCAGGCACAGGCAAGAGACAATAGATTCAGGCTTGACAGTTCTTCTGACATGGAAGAGGAATGTTGGAAATAGGGCCTGAGACCACCCGCTCCCAATCTACAATGAATAACCATTGCAGCATCCCAGCGTCCTGATTAAAGCCACGGACAAATTTTGTTTATGGATTTTTGTTTGTTTTACTTTAAAGCCGTATACTGAGACCTAGGTTGCAGTCCTAAGCAACAGAAAGACTGGTCTCTCTGTTGTGAAGTACTAAATGTGAAAACGCCTGAAACTTTATCTTAAATACAAATTGCAGAATTTGGACTACAAAATTGTATTTTATAGATTAAAACTGGATTTCAAAGAACGAGGAAATTGTATAGTTACTCAATCCATTTTCAGACTTAAAATTCAACTGTATGGATTGTGTGTTATTGGAAACCAAACAGAACCTGTTTGGTTCTGTTTAGCACGTAAAGATGCACTAAAAAGAGAGGTAAATTAAAAAAATCAGATATTCCTTGACCAAAACCAGGTATTACATTTGAAAAAATAGTCAAATTACTGTCACACGTGCAGTCACCGCATTAGGAGAAAAGTATCCCCCAGCTAAACTATTCAGAAAAATTATACTGAAAAGTTACTACCAACACAGGCAAAATAAAATGTCTTTATCGCCTGCTCCAGACTACCACCTTTTTTAAGTGTGCTGTCATTTAGAATGAAATGTTAAATAAAGGGGATATCATTTAAGTCTCTACAAACCAGAAACTCTCAAAGTAAAATTACAGCCTTAAGCACTGCAGGTATCTGCATAGACATAGAATTTCAGCATGAACAATTTTGCCCGAGGTAGTCCAATGACCTTGATTTTATTCCAGTCTCAGCTTCCTCCTGCTCACACGCCTGTACATTTATTTATGACACCCAGTGTGACTACATGATGCAACTTAAGAAGAGAAGTACAGTAAAAGGTCGATCATTTTAAAACCGTACCATTCATATCCCTAGCGGTGCTGGTTTTTTTAAACATGCAGTTGGTTGGACTGTGCAGTTCCCTCCATACTTAAGCTTTTACTTAAAAATTACTGATGAACATTTTAAATACATAAAGCTGTGCTTATCTGTACAAATCCACATCCTGTAAATTGAATCAGCCATACCATACAGTATTAAAGTAAAATGTGCAATAATTTCCTAGTAAGTTACTGCCATTTAACTATGCATTTTTTGAAGGCACAGTACACAAAAGAACTCCTGCAATGGTGGATGAGCCTACCACATGAAAATTTTAACCTTCTAATGAGACAGTGGGACGTGCTTCGCTCGTTCTTTGTATCAAGCAACATAAGGCAGCACGAGAAGCATAACAAGGAAATTCAGATGTCCCGGGTTCTTCATCATAGTCACAATGAATATGGGTCCCCTATACAAATGAGAGACACAAAGCTGTAAAATATAATGTGGGAATATAATTTTATTGTGTTAATCTGCATATGTATTGGTACAGCTGTTCTGTGAATGCTTCTGAGGAAAATTTTTCCATAACTCTGGCTCTCCCAGCTGCTCCCATTGTGTCCTTTAAGAGGGGATCTCTCACAATTTTTTCCATGGCCTCGGAGAATTGCGTTGGCAGAGGATCACACAAAAATCCTGTAACATTATGCAAGATTGATTCTAAAGGACCGCCTGAATTAACTGCTACAACTGGACATCTCATATACATTGCCTCCAGAGGAACAATGCCAAAATGTTCATTGCTTGGTGTATAAAGCACACATACAGAGTTACTAAAAAGAGAGATTTTCTGTTCATCTGAGAAAGACCTCAGAAAAGTGACATGGTCATTAATACTAAGCTTGGCTGCAAGTCTCCTCAGCTCTTCATAGTGCTCCACATTTTCCAGAACTCGTTTATCATAACCACCTGCCATAACCAGGTGAACTTCATTCCACTCATGAGAATCAAGCCTTCCTCGAAGCTCATGCAAAGCTTCAAGAGCCAGTGCTAGATTCTTTTTTCTCTCATACCTATTAATGGAAAGAAACAAGAACTTTTTATTTTGGGGTATCAGGTCAGCCATGTCCGCAGGAACTACCGCTTCAAAGCTACTGATATTGAGCGATGGGTAGAGGACATCTGGGTTTATGTGAGATAAGGACTTAAACGTGTCCTTGAACACACTGGCGGTGAACCTGCTGTTCACAACAATACAGTCTGCCATGCCAGTCGTGTACTCTTCCAGCCAGTCCAGCGGTAACCTGTAGATGCGCTTTAGGAGAGATTCTCTCTTGGTCAGAAGCTGATCAGGAAAGTGACAGTAAAACAAAACCTTCTTACGGGTTCTGGCCAGTCTAAGTACAGGAATGCAAGCAGACACCTAGTGCAACCAGGAGAGACAGGACAGGAGGAGACATTCGTTATTCACGTTAGCGCCGCTGGCGTGTACACCTGATCTCAAAGCCGTGCCCCGAGAGCCACTCCTTTGCAAGCCAAGCGCCTTCTCCCTCTCCCCGCCAAGACGCGCATCAAGCTGCACTCCCTCGTCCATGACACCTCTTGCTGCGGCTCTGGGCTTCCTCCCTTACCCCGGCCTGCGAGGCCACCGAGACCCCTCCTCTGCCAAGGCCCCTTCCCCGTCCAGGCCGCATCAAGCCGCGGGACTTCCCCACGCGCCTCCT